CCAACAGTTGGACGCCGATGGTTCGTTTAACCCTCGCTTAAGAAGCCAGTGTGCGTGCGCCAGGGGGAGGAGCCAATGTCCGTCGTGCGCGTGCTCCGGAGGGAGCCGAGGACGCTCGTACTGCGCGTGCTCCGGAGGGAGCCGAGGACGCTCGTACTGCGCGTGCTCCGGAGGGAGCCGAGGACGCTCGTACTGCGCGTGCGCCAGAGGGAGCCGAGGACGCTCGTACTGCGCGTGCGCCAGAGGGAGCCGCCGAGATCCGACGTGCGCGGCCACGGATCGCGGCCCCGAGACGGAACCGAGTGAGTCCCTTACAACAAGACAGAACTCTACTCGCTTTGTTTGCCGCAGCCTAGCATTGCGTGCTGCTATTCAATCTGGGGTCTACTCTGACCCCCAAAGCCTTTTCCATTTCTGACTTCCCTAGTGGAGTTCCCATTTATGTGTATCCCGCTTGCCTATTTTTAACCCCAAAAGTGCATTAATTTACATTTATCAACATTAAACCTCATCTGTCATATAGATGCCCCTCCTCCTATTTTATCCAGGTCCTCCTATAATGTTGTAGTGTCTAAGCCTGGGTCTATCACCCCCACAATTTTAGTATTATCAGTGTTGCTTCCTGGTTCTTCAAGTTGGCCCTCTGCAGCTTTTCCTTTTTAAAGTGGAAGAGAAAGCAAACGGCTAAATTTACGTGTTTCAGGGTGAACTTAACCGTCTATCCAACCAGTGGTTAAATTTGGACAGCACAGCCAGCGTCTGACCTCAATTTCATCACTGCAATGATTGCAATACAGATTGGTCTTGGCTCCCTGACCTTGACAGATAGTGAAGGAGAAGCAACTCAAAAGATTTTTTGTCCCACAGTTAAAATTTCATGGGGTTAAATGTATTTATTTTGTCCAGACATTTTCGTTCCAACAAATGTTTACAGGGGTGTATTGGTCTGCAAAGCACATTGTTACCTGTTCTGGGATATTTAATTTTACTTTTTTTCTTTCTGTTCTGTTCCTAGACATGAAGGAGCCTCAACTGGACCTCGAGTGATCTGACCGTTTTCAGGAATATTCGTCTGTGACCTCCAGCCGCCATCATGTACACCTTCTTGCCGGAAAACATCACGGCGGTCAAACAGAAGGTTCCAAAGGAGCAGAAGCCTCTAATCTGTGCTGTATTACTGGGCACTCTACTGGTCATCTGCGCAATAGTGTCCTGGTGCTATTACTCCATCTCTCTCCGGAAGGCCGATCGGCTGAAGACGGAGCTGCTGTATCTAAAGAAAGATGGCTTCATCATACACAACCACCAGGGGAAGGTGGTTTTCAGAATGGCCTTCCAGACTGGAGTCCTGGATTTAGATTCCTGCACAAAAGAGGGAGCCATTCTGTCCTGTACTAGGTCAGAGAAGGGACCCCTCAAATTCTTTGTTCAGACGGTCATCAAGGATAAAGAGACCGTGATGTGTTACCGGGTGCGCTGGGAGGAATTTGTTGCCGACACAGCGGTCCAGCACACCATGTATTGGGATGACGCCTACTGGTACGGAGGTGCGGAGATGCGTACGCAAAACTGGCCAATTAAATTATCCGGATACCAGGAACCCAAACCATTTATTACCGGCGATGTTTATTCCTTTAAAGACGGCTTTGGTGGAATCTTGGAAAGTTACTGGCTGTCATCCAACGCGACAGCCATTAAAATCAATGCTTCCGTCCCTTTCCACCTTGGTTGGAACAGTACAGAGAAGGTTTTCTTTTTTGAAGCAAGGTATACCAATTCCCCGTACAAGCCTCCCCCGGGAAAGCCGCCATTCCCGGAACTCAGCTACCGTGTGTGCGTGGGGTCAGATGCCACCTCTATTCACAAGTACATGGTGAGGAGGTACTTCAATAAGCCCAGTCGGATACCTTCAGAAAGTGCCTTCAAGTATCCGATATGGTCAACATGGGCGCTCTATAAAACTAGCATCAATCAGGAGAAGCTGCTTAACTTCACAGAGAGCATTAAGAAATACAATTTTAATTACAGCCACATAGAGATCGATGATATGTACTCCACTCATTATGGTGATTTTGACTTTGATCCGGTGAAGTTTCCAAATGCAACGGCTATGTTTAAAAAGCTAAAGGAAGATGGCTTCAAAGTGACCCTTTGGATTCATCCCTTCATCAACTATAACGCCACCAACTTTGGAGTTGCCATAGAGAAAGGACTGTTGGTGAAAGAGCCCACTGGTCAGTTGCCGGCCATGGTTCAGTGGTGGAATGGGATTGGAGGTATACTTGACTTTACAAACCCCAGCACAAGGGAATGGTTCCAGAACAACCTCAGACAGCTGAGAACGAAATATGGAATTTCGTCTTTTAAGTTTGACGCCGGGGAAACCAGCTATCTCCCAAAGCAGTTCAGCACCTTCGAACCTTTGACAGATCCCAACATGTTCAGCAGGCGGTACACCGAGATGGCTGACCAGTTTTATGACCTTGCTGAGCTCAGAGTTGGTTATCAGTCTCAAAACATATCGTGTTTCTTCCGGATCATTGACCGAGATTCTGTATGGGGGTACGAGCTCGGTTTAAAGTCTCTCATACCTACAGTCCTCACCATCAGTATGCTTGGATATCCTTTCATCCTTCCGGATATGATTGGTGGAAATGCCTCCGGCAATTTTACAAAGGATATGAAAGAGCTTTATATCCGCTGGTTGGAGTTGTCGGCGTTCATGCCCTCAATGCAGTTCTCCGTGCCTCCGTGGCTCTTTGATAAGGAAGTGATTGAAATTGCTCAGAAGTTCACCAAGCTCCACGAATCTCTGGTGGCCCCTCTTTTACTGGAGCTTGCTGGGGAAGTCACCGACACTGGTGACCCCATCATACGGCCCATCTGGTGGATTGCTCCAAATGACGAAGCTGCCCACAAAATCGATTCCCAGTTTCTGATTGGAGACACCTTAATGGTGGCTCCTGTCCTGGAGCCAGGAAAGCAGGAACGCGACGTCTACCTTCCCTTCGGCAAGTGGCGTAGTTACAAAGGGGAGCTCTATCAAAGGACACCCATACTTCTGACGGATTATCCTGTCGACTTGGATGAAGTGGCCTATTTCACTTGGGTGTCTTAAATAAAATGCTAAGTAATCAGAGGTAATGCTAACAACAACTAACAACAACAAAAAACGCAGCATCTCATTCAGCCATAGCACCAGCATATCATTGTACAAGCAATTGGGTATCTATGTGATATTGAAAGACTTTCCCTCAATGAATGTTATCAGGCCATGATGTCACCATGCCCATGCGTCTTCCCAAGTTACCATTATAGTGAAGGAAACAAGACTGTGATAAAGGAACAAGGTTACAATTTCCTTCAGACATCAGAAACTAAATTCAAGCATTGTGCTCAATTGTGCACCATTCTGGTCCGTTAGGCCCATTCGATAAAAGGGTTAAAGTCCAGCGTTCTCGTGCTTGCCGTAGATTGATCATTACGCACTTTATCTGTCCTGCCAAGTTCAGGAAATGCTTCGGGCAGAACTGATGGGGAAAAAGGGAATCTATTTTTATATATAAGCTGTTTTGTTTTTTTTAGTTATTCTTGATGCTGGTGCTGACCGGTTGCCCCTACAGAGGAGGTACCGTACTACTTCATGATGATCCAGCGGTTCTGCTGGCCTTTTAGCAGCCAAGAAAACCTAGAACTATACAGGGAACTTCATCACCTTTTGCTACTTTTTCATCTCCTCAGACTTAGGAAATGTAAAAATGATTTGTGTATTCTGTTGCAGTTTTTGTTCACCACTAATGCCGAGACATAACAGAACTCTGTGCGGGAGGTCACTCTTTGGGTATGCGGCCATAATTGGACCCGGAGCTAGACCGGAGATTGGTTTCGGCTCGTGTTTGGGAAAATTATGTTGAGTGCTTTAGACTTTCATTAGTGTAGGAGATGGCTCCTAATTAACATGAGTCCTAAAGAAGGAATTGTTCCGATGTGTATTTTTGATTTCCGTCCACATGGTTTAGATGGTTTGGTTGTGATGCTTTAACTTTATTTTATCTCTAAAACATAAACTGACCTGAAGCGACCAGCAGCTTCAATGTTCTAAATCAGTGGTTCTCAACCTGTGTAACCTCAGGACCCACATTTGTCCTCGGTCATTAAAGGAGAACTATGAGGCGAGTGCTTTTCACTCACCTCATAGTTCTAGCCGACCTGTGACAATGAGACTGTCACAGGTCGGCTCAGTAGATCGGTAGGGGAGCGGACATATACTGGCGTTCGCTCACCTCTCGATCCTGTCACGGCTCTCTGACGTGACAGGGGAGGGGCTGGATTCCCCCCTCCCCGATCCATCAGCGCTGACGGGCGGAATGGACAGGGGAGGAGGCGGGTACAGCTGGCTCTGCCTCTAGATAGGCAGAGCCAGCTGTCAGTCACGCAGCTGGGCGGATCCCGGCATAATTGTCGGGATCCGCTGCGGCGTCTCAATATACCGCGAGCTACAGCTCCCGATATACTGGGCCTAGGGTGACGGGAGGACGCTAGTTTGTGTCCTCCCGTTACCCTAAGGAGAACTATGGGGAAAAGCCCTAACCCCATAGTTCTCCTTTTAAGTCGCGACCTAAGTTGCACTGCAATGGAATGCATGGCAGTGTGGGCTGCTGTGCTGTGACGGAGCTCCATCCATATGTGCGTTGCTTGTACAGCTCCCATGCACGTCTTGTAGAGGTGTTGGGAGCCAGAATGTGATGTCACTCCAGTCCAGGCACCTCTACAGGACATGCGAGGGAGCTATTGGCATTGCAAATATGGATGGAGCTCCCTCGCGGCCCTAGCCCCAGCCCACCTCAAGTTGGCACTCTGTGCCGGGCAGCATATTTTGAATGGCTGCTCAGTGTGAGAATGGACAGCGCTGCGCTAGGGGGAGGCTGAGGGGCCCCTCACCTAGAAAAGTGGAAGGCATGCGGCGACCCAATGAACAGGGGCTCACGACCCACTTTTGGGTAACGACCCACCAGTTGAGAACCAAGGCTCTAAATGATCCCAGGACATTTGACAGATGTAATCCATAAATATGTAGACCCAGGAGCTGGAACTAAGAAATGTCCACCCACCTACTTGGGGTTTTTTTTTAAATTGTTTTTAACATGGCCATATATTGGTGTCGGGAGGCTGGTTTTGGGTGCCTTACATTATTATATTTTGTTGTTTCTGTTCCAGTTGCTTAAAGTACAACTGCATTTTCATTTTAAATTGGCTAAATACCCTTCAGGTGTTCCAAGAGGTCTATTTATCAATGTTTTTATCCATTATTCACACAGCTTTCACCCAAGATTCAATTGGATGGAAAATGTGTGTCTCCTGGGAGCAAATAGACCCCAAAGTCTATCAGTTCATTTAGTTTAGAAAGCAGCCACAGCCTGAGTAGAAGAGTCCAGCCAGGATGCTGCAGAGAAGATCCCCCTGGTCTCTGTGCAGAGGCAGTGGTCTCCCTGCAGAGGTTCAACACTCCTTTGCTGAGTCAGACCCAGTGGCGTAACAATCGCCATAGCGACCCAGGCGTCTGCTATGGGGCCCGGGCAGGACACCCCCCATCCCTGATGCCGTGCGGGCCGCCTGGGTCGCTATGGCTTCGAACGCGCCGCTGTTTAGATCACTGTCAGTGATGTGTCTATGGTGGGCTGTGCAGGGTCACCCTCAGGTGAGCTGTGTGGGATCTCAAGTGGGCTCTTCAAGGGGTCTAACTAGAAATCACAGGGCCCCATACAAAATTTTGCTATGGGGCCCTGTGATTTCTAGTTACGCCCCTGGTCAGACCTATAGCTACTTTATCAGCGGGGATCATGAGCTTTGCTGATATTAGAACACAAGCTCTGACTTAGTAGGGGATGTGTTGGAACTCTGCCGAGAGACCACTGCTTCCACATGGAGAGCAACAGGGTTATCCACAAAAAGGTGAAGGGCTTGGAGAAGGCCGGAGAGGTGAACAATCTAGGCCAAAGTATCTGATTTGGAAAAAAAATCTCCAATTCAGCTCTCTTTCCAGGTCAGCTATGTTGTCCTAGATCAGTGGTTCTCAATCTGTGGGTCGGGGGGGTCCCCACATGCCTTGTGCTGCTCTAGGTAAGAGGTTCCTCAGCCTCCTCCTAGCGCAGCAGTGTCAGTTCTCCTAGATGGTGGCCAGAGAGGATCAGAGAGAGGGGAGCGGGCAGAAGTGAGGGGAGGTGAGTGCTTGATCACCACAGAGCCCTCCCTGGACACCTACAGAGAGTCCCACTAGCCACCCGAGAGCCGCATAGCCTCCCGAGAGCCCACACAGATACTAGTATTGGTGCATCCCTAAATTTTACGGTTGGGGTCACCACAACTTGGCTAATGTTACCAAGGGGTCCCGGCCCTAGAAAGGTTGAGAACCACTGTCCTAGATTGTTCCCTTCTCCTGTCTTCCCCAAACTCTTCACCCTTCTGTGAATAACCCTGCAAGTGTCCATCTCTGCAGCACGCTATCCGGTGGCCGGCTTTTCTACTGCCGTGGCTGCTTTTTTCTTTTGATGCCTTTTTGAAATTGTATTTTTTGCTGATTTAAACTGAAGGTTCAGTTGGCCGCTATGGATGCTAAACATATGTATAGGGGTGAACAGACTGGTGATTTATTTTTGGGTGTGTGCTCTTCCAGGGGTCAGTTAGGTGCGAGAGGAGCCGTGATCCCACATGGGAGTTTGTTCTCGTAACAGT